TCATAAAGGGTTCAAGAAAAGTTTACAAACGATTATCCTTTTTATTTCTTCAAATTGATTAGTAAAAGGATCTTAGTGAGTGACATATTTACAAATGAAGTACTTAACAAATATAACATACACGAATGGTTTCTGTTGTCATATAATATGTATCATCTATTCAAAATATTTGTCCAGCGTTTAAACAATCAATAAATAATTGTAATACAACTTTTCACTCATTACGTATTTCAATATTGTTAAGTAATACGATGTTATCCAAGTAACTTTATCAAAGTTATGTAACAACAGATATCAATTGTGAGCTGTGAGATCATAGAAAAATATGTCATACAGAAACGAGGTCATCTTTATCACTCATCTGTGCTGATAAACTAAACGCAGTGTCCGTGCTAGCTTCGCTATTTAAGCTTTCATTAAACACTGGCTTTATGTGAGCAGCATCGCTCATTTCTCTCATTAACCCAGCCATGTCATCATCTGGATCAATTTCTTGCATTTCACCCACTACGTCGATCTCCATGGACTGACTATCTGTTATCGACATCTCTGGCACTTCCGGCTTTATTTCCTTAAACTAATTTAAATCATTATGTTTATATTATCCATAATCATGATTATGATAAGAGTAATTTTAACGTTTACCTTCATGGATTCTAGTTTACATTCAGATGGTAAGTTCATATGGAAAACACAATTTGTATCAAAAATCACAGGTACTGGCTCATGGCATTCTATATCTGCTCTAACAGCACCACAAGCTTTGAATAAAACTTGATGTTGATCCTGCCAAAGTTATATGATTTTTTTTACACTGCTATTTGCTATGGTATTGTTGTAGTAATTCAGAAATCTTACTTTAAGAATATGTTTACGACAATGCTTTGCAGCAGGAAGAGTTCTTTCTCCGCATTTCACTCCTCCTTCTGTGAATATACATTTTGATATACTAGGAATTTTTTGTGCAGGCCCTTCAGTTGCCTATAACCAAAAAGTATTTATTTTACAACTGAAAAGAATTTTAATGAAATAAAATCATGGTTTTTTTGCTCATTACCTGTGCTCTGCGCTCTAATGATTTTCTATATAGAATAGCCTCGACTCCACTTCTTCTGTGATATCGATTTAAAGCTTTTAATTTCTCATACATTTTCTTTTCTTTTGCAGTTTCCTTTGGTTGATCATGTATGGCACACAAGGTTTCCTTTTCCTTTTTAAGACCATGCAAATATTTTCGTCTCTTTTCTTTCAATGTGTACTGCAGTCTTCTGTATTGATCTATATAAAGTGACTGTAATCGTATCAATTTTTCTCTCGCAATATATATCACCTCCTCAGCAGTAAAAATTCCTGCATGCCTTAAAAAATTAATACTATTTATTTGATAGAAATAAGTTCCTTATCTTTGCATTAAGCAGCTACAACAGTTGAGTAAGTAGTATCGAGATTTTGAAAATTTTAATTGTGCAAATTAAACGATTAAAGATTAAAAGTTTTAGAAAGATTTGCTCAAGCTAAAGCATGCTAGCTGATATTCTACAAGCAGTCATATTTTTTGAATGCGTTAGACACTGTTATGTCTGCAGCATAATCTTATCCTTACTTTAAGGGATCTTCTTGTGCGCTATACAAACTTTCATTATCACTATCATCTAGATAACTTCCTCTTAATGTATCGTTTACTACAGTAGGCTCAACATCACTGTCCGAAGAACTTGCATAATCCAAAATATCACATCCACTTGCATTTACCTTAGTTGCATCTACCTCAGCTGAAATCAAAATACACAACTAATGTCCGCAATTCTAAAGTTCATAATAAAAATTTTAATTTAATTCTTACTGAAGGGATCTAATGCTTTGACTTTCCCTTCTTCATCTTCAGTATCTTCTGTACTGGAATCAGTTGGCTTAACATAGTGACTTAAATTGAGTAAAAGCATTTCAGGTGTCTGTGGCAATGCATGACGTGATGTTGACTTAATGCGCGCAATCTGGGCCTTTCTAGTGTGCTCAGAACAATATCTGTAAAAAATGAATAATTTAACGAAGTCCAAAAAACGTTGTATAAAATGATCTTTATAAATGTAGCCATTCTACGTACGAAATATCCCTTCTGTCTAACTTTGGTGCTGGGTTCTGGCATTTCCTGCCATTAGTATTGTACACGAAACCACATTGTTTGTAAGGTGCATTTGTATCTTCCAGGATATGCTTGGCACAATAATTGTATCCCTCAAGACAAGGCTGTGAGCATTCATAAGATGCATATAAACAAACTTGCATTTGCTTTGGCTTCTTTGTGACTGTTGTAGTCACAGGCATTGTTTTTGGGATGCGAAACATACCTTGCCTATGTAAAGAATGAAAAATATATCAATTAAAAAGAAACATCTCAAAGATTGATATTTAAAACATTCGAAATAAATATTATGTATTGATAATATTTCAACACGATCTACAAATTCTAATTTGCCGCCACTAATATCGGAAATCAAAACAAATACATTAATTTTGTTGTTCGACGACATTCTCCGAATGTATGATCACTCCGTATATCAAAAAATATATAAAATATAAAGTATCGTAAATATATATATCTGCATTCGCTTTTCAAGATACAAATTTAAAGAAAGCGATATTTGTAACAAGTGGTAGTTGGCCGCCATTTTGTATGTGGGATGTTGAATGAAGTTTCATTGATGTATGTACGGATTTCGAAAGAATGAGGCGGACATGTGATTGGTTTTTGTGAAAAATCGGTAAAAAGGGAAATCAGCGGGACTTGAGAAAGCCGCGAGACATAAATCTTTTTAGAAACTCACCGTGATCACTTACATCAAATCCTTCGGAACGGAAAGACAGTGTCAACCGATTCACGTTTGTCACCGTCAACGTTGTTCTGGAAACTTCAGAGGGGGAAAAAGATAATACAAGTGAAACGTAAAGTAGTGGCGATAGTGCCGTAAGTCAAAATGATGCGAATCAAAAAATGATAAATACTTGATAGGGAGCACTGGGTCCTTCGGTAGGACTGAGATAACGGGAACGCTACTACAGGGATAACATTGGCTGCGTGCACATACTACTAGCTGAACGAAGGTTGCGTCACTTCCGGGAGTTTAAAGCTCAAAAGTTCTAATTGATAAACTACGTGATTCATACCTGTCGGTAGACTGAAAAACAGTTCAGGTAGGTTATGACGTTGGTTGTAAAGTGTTAGCCGAATTGGTTTTACGTTACGCACGCGTATTTACTGCTAACCAAACCGTAACGTGCTCAGGATCGAAAGAATTCCTCTTGTACAAGGCACACGCGTTCGTCGCACTAACCGTGACGACGTAATTGCATCTTTTTGTGCAACAGAACAAGTAGCATTTTATGGTTCTCAGACAAGATGGGGTAAATTTCACGAGAGTGCGTAAAACCATCGCATGCTAAGTATTTTCTATATAATGTTACATAATAGATGGGACAAAAAATTCGATACCTTCAAGGAACGGTAAAAAGTATTTATAATATAACTTGTTCTGAATCTGAGTATAATAACCTATTTTTTTCTGTAACCAACCTCATAGCCTGCCGAAAAATAATTTAAACGAAAATCGCTTAACACGGTGATACACGAATAAATGATGCGTGCGGAGGATATTTCCGTGCAATAATGGACGCCTTACAACGTTGATTACCTTGTGTACCTAACATATTATACATATATCGAGTTCTAAATCACAACCCATTCTAAGACCGTGTTTTAAATGCGTAAATGTTCCGAGGAAATTGCGAGGAATAAACTACACGTAAAAAAAAGACAAAAATGCAACGGCCCCTATAAATGAATTTTAAAGTATAAATAAAACTTGTTACTGTGATGCACTTGTCAAAGAGACGATTTTATTAACTTATTACAATTATACAGAAAATCCTGTTTTGTAAAACGACTACTCGTGTAAATAAAACGTCCTCGAAAAAAGAAAAAACCGGAACCGATATCGTAACGGTGTCAAGAAGTTCCGTTCGAACTTCTGTAAACTACGACAATCTATTATCATATAAATATAAGAGTACTGAAGCCTTTGAAGCATTTCCAAAGTTGATTTTTTCATTTCCTGCACGATTCTGAAGCAGTGTGGTGAAGTTTGACGCGAACAGGAATAATTCGTCGTCGAAAAAAAAAAGTCATGTCAACGCGAACTTCCGACTTGCTTAGTTAAGCACTCTAATATATAGTTACATATTAAGCGAAATTTCTATGACTGTATCGTAGGCGAAGTTTACCAAAATATTAGAAGCACTAGTACCAAGCTTAGAAAAAAAAAAATTCTAACAAAGACGTTACCCCCTCTTGATTAACGTGTGATTATGGTTCACTGTGAAAAGTTTCGCCGCTATAAGCTCAGTGTGGAGTTTTCGGTTGGCATAGTGACGTGAAGTTTCCAATGTGTCGCGTCGTGTGTTTGTGCTCGCCACCACTGCCACCGTCGCGACTGCCGTGAAGTGCGCATCGTTAGTACCGAGTTGTGTGTACATATAAATGGCGACTGACGAAAAATGGTACTTTACGAAAGAACAGCTAATAAACACGCCGAGCAGAAGATGCGGCATCGACGCGGATAAAGAACTGAGCTACAGGCAGCAGGCAGCGAATTTCATTCAGGACATGGGACAGCGGCTTGTGGTGTATCCTTTTTAACACGTACATGTTCAGTTGCGTGTTTCTCAACCACCCTTTCCCCCTGTTCCTATCAAACGTTCGCACGTTTATTCTGCGATTTCTACCCGTCGCAAATGTTGCCTCGAACGTTAGTGCATCACCGCGATCCTTTTTCCTTACGTAACGATCCCTCGATCGTTCCGGAATTTCGAGTAAACGCGAAATACGTAACGTGTTGTAAACATGAGTGACGTGCGAAAGAGGAGGTCACGCGTCACGATTATCGTTCTCCATATTGGAGTTCTTCGCGTTGCGTCCACAGTGCGTTACAAATTTCGGGATTTTTGTGCTATTCGATCCGGTCGCGGTCCGTAGAGAATGTTCTCGGAGTGCGGAAATATCGGAAAGAGTTTTGTTAGCTGAAAGAAGGACAGGGAATAGGGTCATGGAAAGGCTGCATTGTTTGCCAAGCCAAGTTTGACAGTAGTACCAACCAAAGGCACGGTTTCTGCTAATATTCCTTATGCAAGTACATTTTTCTTCTATTTTCAGTTTATCTTTGTTTACGCATCATTGTGATGCATCAAGAGTCAAATCTAATTTACCAGTGACAATGTTATCTATCTATGTGAAAAGCATTCAATGACTAATCAGCTCTGTATGGTTCTTATCATTGACATTGTTCTGTGATCGATAGATTATTTGAATTCTTTCTTATTTGATCATACCTTGATCAAACTATTATTCTAATGGAATTTTGGCAACTCCTTACTATTATCTATTAGTGAAGAATGTTTACGACTTCTTCGAATAATAACTTATTGTATGCAGGCTATTCAGTATCAGGTAAGAGAAAATTCAAAAGATGATTTTTTAAGATAGTATAGAATTAAAAATAAAAAAAGTTCTAGTTCTAGTTTGACCATCAGAGTCAACTGACAGAGGCACATTAGATCAGAAAGATATTTCATTAATAATACTATGAAAACTAATAAAATTACAGTTTTTTTATTTTTGATTTTTTATCTTTGATCGTCTTGTAAGATCACATAATAAATCTTCTTCAACCTGTTGCCAAATATCTTGTATAATTTTAAATGATAGATTTAAAATTTATATTTGTAAGATGTTTCCTAATCATGGAACAT